TATCCCTGTATCCTCGTGTCTCACTCATCCCCGTCTCTTTATCCCCATCTCCGTTTAACTCTGGCTCCGTCTCCACCACCACCGCCACCACCACCGACCACGTTTGGCTTTGAACTCTCTCTGCGTCCTCTCCCGCCGCTCTCCCTGGGCCCAGAAGTCTCCCCCTCTTGCATCTCCCTTCCCTGTCCCCGTTCCCTCGGCGAGATGCGTGCAGCCGTGCGGCGTCGGGGCAGGCGCACGGGCACCCGCTCGGCTGATAACGCCTCCCCATGTCGAGGAGCGCAGAGCTTGGGCACACGTCGGTAGCGCGCCGGCTCCGCACCGCCGCCGCTCATCGTTCTCGACGTTCTCGGTGGCGCAGAGTTATGCGTTGTGACGACGCCATCATCATCATTACCAGCACTGCGTGGATGACTCCGCCGTTTTGTCTCCGTTCGCCCCGACACAGGCGCGGTATTTATGAGCAATTCTCTCTAATAGCGAAATGCGAACAAATTATTTCCCTCTGAATTAAAGTGCTAATTGGGCACACACTCTGCTCAACTAAGACGCCACCTCATGACTATTGCAGTGATTTAGAAGATATTCAGGGAGTCTCAAATGTACGTTCAGAATCGCAGTCGTGCGGAAATGCACACGCGCGCATGTCGGGACACAAGCACACAGAGATCCCGCGCGTAGCCCACTTCAGGCTGGCGGGGCAAGTGCAGTTCACGAGCAGAACACACGAGGAGATGCTTGGCCATTACCACGCCCCCGGCCATCTTTGTCTTCCCAGTGCTGATATTCGCCACTGTTATTGGTCGTGAGCCGGATCAAACTCGGTTTGCCAGGTTCGGATCGCAGTGCGCTCAGCACAGGACACACATGAGCAGGGACAAAGAAAAAGACCCCCCGTATAGCCTTTGCAGACTTTCGGGGCAAGTGCTGTTAGGAGGACCTATGAAGGCCGGCACGGCACACGAAGGGGTTGCTTGGCCAACACCACGCACGACTCATTTGTGGCTGAGTAGACCTAGAGGGAGCGCCAGGACTGGTTCAGACAGCCCTTACCAGTGTTGACCGCGAGTGGGAATCGAACCCCGGTTCGCCTGGTTCGTAAGCACAGTTCCCTAACGGCGACAGCACCGCTGTCCACACAATGAGGGTCACACACGGACAGTGACACACGACGTGTCTCCCCAGGCCACAGCGCGAGAGGTCAGAGGACACCGATAGGCCGCCCCCCCCCCCCCACCCCAGGGATGACCGCTCCGATTCTCCGGCCGCGTGTTACATTCGAGCGCCTCCACGCTCGCCCGGGCTCGGTGAGGCGAGCGCCAGGCGGGGAGGGGGGGGGCGCCTCAAAGTTGGGAGGCCCCTGAGCCGGCCCCGCCGAGTGCCCGGGCTCCAGTGCGGGCAACAGCCCCGACCAGTCACCGCGGGGACACGGGGCCTCAGTGTCGCGACTTGCTCGTCTCAGCCCGGTCGTCGGTGACGTACACAGAGACCCACAGTCCATAATGCAGGTTTTTTTGGTTAGATCGCGTAAAATATATAAATGTGCCGTTAGACCCGCCACCACCCGACATAGCCAATTAGTAAGGGTTGCCACGTAAACGGAACGTGCCAATTCGTTACGAGTACAGCACTAACCGGTGTGTTGAAGAGCCAAGCCACAACATTTACAATGTGAGTACACAGGTTCAAGTCTATGGGTCTCTACGCGAGACCCTCAGGTTCACGTAGAGACCCGTAGACTCACATGCACGGTGTTGAGATTAAACCGGGTTCTCAAATGTAGTGAGTTCATGGGCTCAGCTCGGTCACAAAGAACTGCACGAAAACCCCTTAACATTAAATGTTATGGGGTCTGTGGCTCTGCATTTTGGCAAAATTCCAGCTCTGAGAATGTAGCGAACTGCTCGACCGCCACGCGTCGATCACGAGCGCCGCCCTCCACTGTGCGGAGCAGAGGTCACGCCAAGGGATCTCAGACGTAGCTCTGTGCTATCCACTTCCACGGGCCGTTCTCCCATACTGCTCTCCGAGATGTCTGAATTAATCCTCCGCCGCTCGTAACGTCGGTTGCACATTCGGGAGGGCGGTGTGTGGTGGGGGTAAAGGAAGATGGGGAGAACAGCGCCGTTGTGTAAGTGTCGAGCGCCCGCTCCATGTCACGCCGAGGCCACGGCGTAGAACCGCAGCGGGGGGGGGGGGGGGGGCGCAGCGGCCGCCGACGTCGCCGAGCCCGGCCGGGCCAGGCCGTGACGGCCACGCTTGCGGCAGGGGAAGGGGTTAAAGTCGCCTCCCCCCTCGCCTCGGCGTTCGATAACACATCTAATGGAGGATGCATTATGCATGAGCCTGGCGGAGCGCCGTGCAAACCCCGCGACGAATCTCGACCAAATTCGACAAAACGCGACGAGACGCGCGCGCCGTGAATACCGAGCCCCCCCCCCCACCGACTCTTCCAGCCCCTCCACCACTGCCCCCCCCCCTCTCCCCACCACGCCTCATCCCCTCCCCTCCCGAACATTTAACAGAGACGAACAAATCCAGGTTAGTACGCGCGCTCTCTCATGCCCTCCCCCGTACCCCTCTACTCTCCCGTCTCCACTCTCTCCTTTTAGCAAAATGAATATTGACTAAATGCATCGTCCTTGTTGATGTACACATCCCAGTAAGCATATGCATCACGTTGCTCAACTACCACATGCACGCACCTGTTGTAAATACAATTAGGAAACGGCACGTTAGTTTGTCAACTGCTCGTTAAAAGCAAGCATCGCATCCTCTCTCATTCGCCTCCTCCTGTCTCCCTTCTCTCGTCTCCCCCTTCTCGTCTCCCCCCTCTCTCCTCTCCTCTCTCGTCTCCCCCCTCTCGTCTCCCCCCTCTCTCCTCTCCTCTCTCGTCTCCCCCCTCTCCCCTCTCCTCTTTCCCCTCTGCCGACGCTGGGCCCATGGCCACTGTCCGTGGGTCACTGCCCGCCGGCGCGCTCACGGCGCCACGTGGTGAGATGAGCGCGATAATTAATTTGGAAATAACCGCGATTGGTGGGGTGGTGAGGGGAGGGGGGAGTTGGTGGGTGGAGAGGGGAGGGGGGAGTTGGTGGGTGGAGAGGGGGGAGTTGGTGGTGAGGGGGGAGGGGAGAATTGGTGGGGTGGAGAGGGGTGAGTTGGTGAGGTGGAGAGGGGAGGGGGGAGTTGGTGGGGGTGGAGAGGGGAGGGGGGAGTTGGTGGTGAGGGGGGAGTTGGTGGAGGTGGAGAGGGGAGGGGGGAGTTGGTGGGGTGGAGAGGGGAGGGGGGAGTTGGTGGGGTGGAGAGGGGAGAGTTGGTGGGGTGGAGAGGGGAGGGGGGAGTTGGTGGAGAGGGGAGGGGGGGGTTGGTGGAGAGGGGAGGGGTAGTTGGTGGAGAGGGGGGGGAGTTGGGGGGGTGGAGAGTGAGGGGGGAGTTGGTGGGGTGGAGTGGGGGCACAGGTTGGTTGAGAGGGGAGGAGACAGTGTAGATGGTAGTCGGGCTGCGAGAGAGAGAGAGAGGAGGAGGAGGGGAGAAGCGATAGAGTTGAGCGACGAGATGAAGGTGAGCAGGAAATGAGGTTGAGAGGTGACAGGGTCGCGAGTGGGATGAGAAGGGGAGGGGATTGAGAGGCGGGGCTGGTGCCGCTGTGGGCGGCAGGCCGAGCCGTGCGGTGGGGCTCTGGGTGGGGGGTGGGGGGGGCTGCTTTATTAATTTGGCCTGATGGGTATCGGGACCCTTCCACACCCCTGCCCGGTAGCCGGCCGCGAGGGCTGCGGGCTGGGGCCGAGGTGCCGGGGGTTGACGCTCCCGTAACGACTTCTTCCATTTCGCGAGCTGAATTATTTAGCCTCCGTTATCGCGGAGCGCGCGGAGATAATGGCCGGCTCCCTCCCCCGACCCCGACTCTCGCTGCTGCTCCTGTGAATATTAAGGGAGGCGCTGCCCGCGCTGCCCCCGGCGAACGCTGATGGATGTTAATGGCAAAGTGGCTCACACCAAAACAGAGGTCCCCCTAGTGGAGCCTTGAGCAGACCGATTATTTAAGGCGCTGCTTGCGAGCACCCATGAAGGTCAGCACGGCACGCGAAGGTGGGGGCGGGGTGACCAACATCACTCCCGGCCGCCTTTGTCTCCCTGGTGCTGTTGTTTAAAGGCACCCATTTTATTGCTGAATCGACCTGTGGGGCCAAGGACCGAGTTCAAATATCCGTCACCGCTGTTAGTCGTGGGCGGGAATCGAACTCGGGTCGCCGGGTTCGTAGCGCAGTGCGCTTTCCACTTGCAACCACCGCTCGCCGTACGCACATGCAAAGGTATGTACACACACACACGTATACACAGACATACACACGTACGTGCAGACAGACATACACACACGTACACACAGACCTTCACGCACACATGCATGCACGCGCATAAGGCAACGATAACAAGGGCACGGGAACAGCGGCGGGCCCGTGTCGATCCGAGCGGTCACCGACACCGAACCCCTTGGCGGCACGGGGGTGACACGCGTGAGTTCGTGCGCAATGTTTATCCTGTACGCACACGCGGTGGTTGGTTCACTCGCACGTGCAGTGGCTCGTGTGAGTGTGCGGGGGTTCGTCTGGATGTGCGTGGGGCCGTCAAGGTTTCCCCGCCCGCTCTCTTCGCCCACAGCTCGTGTTGTGCGGGGCACGTGGGTGCGAGCGACACAGGCGTGTGTGTGTGTGCGTGTGTGTGTGCATGTGTGTGCGTGTGTGTGTCAGTTCACGAGTGTGTGTGCATTGCTGCTGCGGAGCGGCGGTGCAGTGTTTGATTCCTGAGTTTGATTCCTGAGTTTGATTCCAGCTGAAACCCAACGCCGGCGACGTGGACCGTGGTGCCGGGCACCCACCCCCTCGTGTGCCGTCCCGGCCTTCATCGGTGCTGTTCGCTAACAACACTTGCCCCAACATTCCGTTCAGGCTATACGGGGGGGGGGGGCATCTGTACATTTGTCGTTATGTTGCTGCCCTTACCTGCCCACGTCGAACTGCCCCAGCAGCTGCTCGCGACCGGCCTCCGTCTGGCTCAGCGTCCGCAGCAGCCGCACGGCGTGGAGCCGCAGCGCGGCCTCGTCGGAGCGGAGCGCACCCAGCAGCGGCACCGCCTCCTCCTCCTCGGCCGCCCTCGCCGCCTCCGTGGCGGCTCGGCGCAGCTGCAGGCTCGCCAGCAGCCGCCCCACGCTGGCGTCTGCCGGCGGGTCGAGACGGGGAGACGGGGGGGGGGGGGCAGCAGCGGAGAAGCAGCCAGGTCAAGAGCGAGCACCACCGCAAGCAGCAGCTACCTGCATGGGTCTAACTCAGCCGTGTGTGTGTGTAGGGTGTTGTGTGTAGGGTGTTGTGTGTAGGGTGTTGTGTGTAGGGTGTGTCTGTGTTGGGTGTGTGAGTAGTAGGGAGCAGTGGTTAGAGCACCGCGCTACGAACCGAGCGACCTGAGTTCGGCCACATCCAACATGCGTGGCGAGGGATCTCTGAACCAGTCCCGGGCCTTCCCCACCAAACCTAAACCCAGCACCCGGCGCAGGGCACAACATGCACTGGGGAGACAAACATGGCCGGGCGTGGTGCTGTTCACCCCACCACCCTCGTGGGCCATAGGGGCCTTAATAGGTGCTCGCTAACGGCTGTGGGTGTTGCCATCGGATCGATCGTCATTGGAGATATGCATGACCTCTGACACATCCTACCTGGCGGGTCGAGAGTTCGGCTCCGCATGGCTACGGTCGGAATTGACCGCTAGCGGTGGTGGCGCGCTCGCCGCTCACTTGCACTGGGTTCACGGTTTGAATCCAGCGACTGCCCTGGTTATTGCTGCGGTGTGCGCATTGACCGTAATGATACCGCGCGCCAGAAGATTTTGTCCGAACGAGTTTTCATACACTGGAGATTACAGCCTAGCATCGTTCCGTGTCAACCGCAGCTTACCTCTCGCTCTGTTGCTGGGTGATGGAGGGCTGTTGTTAAACAGTGACGTTCTATTCCTAGGCGTGATCCGACCAGAAATAAACCGATTAAGAATCCTGCAGAGAAACGGTTAAATTTCTTGCAAAATGCGTTCCTGCGCCCGCGAGCCAAACATAAACTCGCATTTAATTGCACTTAACGTCTCAAACAAGCGATAAAGCATCACCCCTGTAATTTTACCGAGAGTGAAACCTCAACACAGACCGATCGAGCAACAAACACCGGGCAACAGGACACTCGCTTTGTTCTGGATGGCAAAACACAATCGCTGACGACGATGATGATGATTAGAGCATGGGCCGTGCACTGGCGCGCGATGCGTGACCCCACTTCTTCACAATTTGAGTGATTTCCCCCAACACTGCAGATCGAGAGTCGTCCATTCCGGAGTCGTCGTTTGTCGGTGAGAGTCTTTTGTTGTTTGGTGTTCTTCCCGTGCACGGGCCCAGAGGTCCAACGCGTCAAGCGGTCAGCAACAAACAGCACCGTCATCACAGTATTTGTTGAGTGAGTGGGTGTGTTGTTGTGACCTGCAGTGTGGTGAGCGAGTGTGTGAGTAGGTGAGTGAGTGAGTGAGGGTAGTTTTGTGACCTGCAGTGCGGTGGTTGAACACAGTACGGAACGAGACGATAGCACAGGCAGCACGACGGCTGTGTGCGAGCGAGCGAGCGAGTGGGTTGCATTCTCGTGCGTGTGCGCGTTCCCGAGTGTGCGGCACGCGGGGTGTGCGCGTGCCCGTGTGAGCGCGTCCGTCGCGGACTCCTGCCCCACCGTCGTCCTGGCAGGCCGCTTGCAGCAGCTGCAGCAGGGAGACGCACAGCGCCGTCTCCTCCTCGCCCACGCAGCGCCCGCACAGGCTCCTGCACGGTGGGGAGGGGGGCAGTACGGGGTTACGCGGGGGTCACGGGTTCAAGCGGGGGTTGCGAGAGTTCAGTGGGAAGTGACCACGCAGCCAGCAAGCGCGAGTCTCTGTCCGCAATGAGACTCTTGGCTCGAGTCGAGTCTCGGTACTGCCCCCCAAGCCCCCTGCTGATGCCGCAATCGGGCCCCTGTGTTTCGCTTGCGCCCAGCCGACAACGCCGCCGACGTCCCGCGCACTCCCGCGCGCGAGGCGCAGCAGCAGCAGCCGCAGCAGCCGCAGCAGCAGCCGCAGCAGCCGCAGCAGCAGCCGCAGCAACAGCAGCTGCAGCAGCAGCTGCAGGAGCCGCCGGCACGAGCGGCCTCGCTGACCCGCAAATCTCCCCCGTAACGAGCGACATCCCTCGCCATCGCCCTCCACCGCCTCACCAGAGGACCCGTGTAACTCCTGTGCTTTCCACGTTCGTGCCCACAAGCGGAGCGGTATGAAGCACAGCAGCAGCAGCAGTCTGAGCTCAAGGACGAACCCGATAACCCACCCCCCCAGGCCTTGCCCTGCCCCCGCCCTCCCGAGCTCCACGCCGCCTGCGTCTCACGCAGCCACAGAAGGAGCCACAGAAGGAGCCACAGAATGAGCCGCGCTGGAGCCGAGTTCACTTGCAGCCAAGGGGGTCGTGCAGCGGCTCAAGGAGGCGCCACTCACACCGGCCCTGGACGAGGGCCCCTTGCGTTCTGTCGCTGTTCCCGAAACTAAAACTAAATGTTGTTTTTATTTCACCAGGTAAGGCCCACTGAGCTATTAAGCTATTTTGCAAATCGACCTGGCCACAAACGATAGGCCAACGAAGTGACTTGTCACGTGGGAATGTATAGCAGGCGACTACTCGAGACACGTGTGGAGGGGACAAGCCGGAGGACCCGGACAAAAATCCACGCGACCACGGGGAGAGAGAGAGAGACGCAAACTCAAAATCAACAACATGGGACAAGTGCTGTTAGCGAGCAGCACCTATGAAGGCCGTCACGGCACACGAGGGGGTGGGTGGCCAGTACCACGCCCGGCCGCCTCTGTCTGCACCTTATTAATGTTTTCACACCGCACCAGGTAACAATTTGAGGCTGTGTCGACCTCACGCACGCCCATGACCAGGTCAGATCATTGTCACTGTTGGCCGTGAGCGGGGATTGAACTTAAATCGCCGGGTTCGTAGAGAGCGCGCTAACCGCTACGCTACCGCTCCCCGACGCACGCATTTCCATACGCACGGACGAAGACGCCAACGACTCACACACCGACTCACACACACCGACTCACGCACACACTCTCCAACGACTCACACACTCTCTCCAACGACTCACACACACCGACTCACACACACACACTCTCTCCAACGACTCATGCACATCAACGACTCACACACACACCGACTCACACACATACTCTCTCCAACGATTCACACACACCGACTCACACACACACTCTCTCCAACGACTCACACACACCGACTCACACACACACTCTCCAACGACTCACACACCGCCTCACACACACCCACTCACGCACACACTCTCTCCAACGACTCACACAAACCGACTCACACACACACTCTCCAACGACTCACACCGACTCACACACACCGCCTCACACACACCGACTCACGCACACACTCTCCAACGACTCACACACACTCTCCAACGACTCACACCGACTCACACACCCCGCCTCACACACACCGACTCACGCACACACTCTCTCCAACGACTCACACACACCGACTCACACACACACTCTCCAACGACTCACACCGACTCACACACACCGCCTCACACACACCGACTCACGCACACACTCTCCAACGACTCACACACACTCTCCAACGGCTCACACCGACTCACACACACCGCCTCACACACACCGACTCACGCACACACTCTCCAACAACTCACACACACGCTCTCCAACGACTCACACACACACACATCTCTCCTACGACTCACACACACCGACGCACACACACACACTCTCCAACGACTCACACACACCATCAACTCACACACACTCCAACAACTGACACACACACACTCTCTAACGAGTCACACACTCTCCAACGACTCACACACACTCAATACACACATTTGCAAGCGCGCCCACACGCGCACACGCTCGCTCAATTACGAGGTGAGGGTAAATGAGGTGCTCGAATGGCGATGGGGGTGGGGAGGCGCTGCTGCTGCTGTTGTTGTGTAGTGGGGCACGGCAATGAGCTTCCATCTTCTTCGCCCTCCTTCGCCGCCGTTATCTCTCAGAGGCACGAGCACGCTCCCTCCCTCCCTCGCTCCCTCCTCGCTCCCTCCCTCGCTCGCTCCCCGCACCACAAGACACCCACATAGGGACACGCGCGCGAACTCAGGGACGCGCAGAGCCCCTTGCGTCGCCCTGAAACGAGAGACCCGCGGGACTTCCACAGCCGCGCACAGAACCCCACACGTGCAAACATCTCTCGAGCTGCACCAGCACGAGCCTCCCGCAAACCACGTGACCCTCTGTGCGGCCACCCCGGAACCCCGCCGCTCTCCCCACCGCCCGCCGTGAAGGCGCCCGACGCCGCCGCCGCCGTCCCTCCCACGTGCAGCAGCAGCATCATCAGCAGGAATGTCGAATCCCTGACGAAGCCTCTCCCTCCCTCCCCATCATCTCTCGTGACCCGTCTGCTCCCGTTCCTCCGCTCCTCTCCCATCCGCGGCTTACCTCATTTTCCACGTTTGGGAGAAATAAATAAATAAAAACCCTCCCCGTGCCGTCTCGCGTGGCTGCCTCGTTAATTGCGACGAGGGCCGCCCAAATCAAAACCTCGAAGCCTCGGTGATCCGCCAGCCCCCGGCTCGGGGTTAAACAGGAGCCATCTGTGAGGAAAGCGACTCCTATGTAATTGCGCGCATACCGCGGCTGAGTTAGCGCGTCCAATCAAGGCAGTAATCAGGCATCGCTAATTGAGCTGCAAATCTTCCCGCCTGTAATTAGGGAGCACTCCCCCCTCCCGCCTGCCCCTCGCTACCGGCGAGGGGCAGGCGGGAGGTCTCCGTGAGGAATGCTCACCGCTCACTCACTGCTCCCACACCGCCCCCCCCCCCCCCATGACTTCCCAACCACTCCGCACCACTCCCCCTATGACTCCCCCACATCGCTCCCCCTAACACTCCCCACTGCTCCACCACCGCTCCCCCTCGATCACTCCCCACTGCTCCACCACCGCTCCCCCTCGATCACTCCCCACTGCTCCCCCTCGATCACTCCCCACTGCTCCCCCTCGATCACTCCCCACTGCTCCCCCTCGATCACTCCCCACTGCTCCCCCTCGATCACTCCCCACTGCTCCCCCTCGATCACTCCCCACTGCTCCCCCTCGATCACTCCCCACTGCTCCCCCTCGATCACTCCCCACTGCTCCCCTCGATCACTCCCCACTGCTCCCCCACCACTCCCCCGATATCGCTCTCCCAGCGCGCGCCACTAAATCTGCAGCCGCTCAATCTGCACGCGGCGGAGCGCGGCTGCTCGCGGCGCGATAATCGCCGCGGTGTTTTTCGCGTTGGCGCCGTCTCCGACTGGCGCCGTCTCCGACTGGCGCCGTCTCCGACTGGCGCCGTCTCCGACTGCCGGGGACGTAACTCTCCTCGAACTTCTGTCTGCGCTCGCCGGAGAACAAAGACAAAGATCCCCCGCGTAGCCTTCAACAGGCTGCCCGGGGTTAGCGAGCACCAACGAAGGTCGGCACAGGCGCACGAGGGGGTGGGTGGGTGGCTAAGACCACGCCCGCCCGCCCGCCTTTATCTCCCCAGGGAATATTCATTGTTCGTCGTGAACGGGAATTCAACTCGGGTCACCGGGTTCATAGCGCAGCGCACCAACCACGACAAGGCCGCGAGCCACAAGCGGCGTCTCAAACTCTCAATGGGACCGCATCTCGAGACCTCGCACGGAATCACTCGGCGCCTTCGCTCCAAGCGACGCAGGCGGCCGCAGTCACGGGCAGAGGAGCGGAGGGGAACGTCGTGAGGGTGGACGGTCGGGGGGTCGTGAGATCTACACCCGGGGGTCGTGAGCTCTGTAATTATCGGGGGGCAACAGCAGAAGAGACCTCGAATTCAACCGAAGTTTGCTGAGGGTCTCCACAAATCGCCTTGGTGGCTGGAGTGGAGAGCGCGTGGCGGGAAGTAGAGTGAGATTAGAGGGGAGAGGTGGGAGAGTGCGTGGAGGGGAGTGGAGGGAGATGAGAGGGGAGAGGTGGGAGAGTGCGTGGAGGGGAGTGGAGGGAGATGAGAGGGGAGAGGTGGGAGAGTGCGTGGAGGGGAGTGGAGGGAGATGAGAGGGGAGAGGTGGGAGAGTGCGTGGAGGGGAGTGGAGGGAGATGAGAGGGGAGAGGTCGGAGAGTGCGTGGAGGGGAGTGGAGTGAGATGAGAGGGGAGAGGTGGGAGAGTGCGTGGAGGGGAGGAGAGTGAGATTAGAGGGGAGAGGTGGGAGAGTTGGGCCGTGAGCGCGAATCGAATTCGTGTCGCCGGCTTCGTAGCACAGCGCACTAACCGCTGGGCCACAGCGCAGTGGAGCAGAACAATAAGACGTAAACAAAAATCCATCAAAAAATAAAAAAAACTGCATCGTAATAATATTGGAAGATGTATTGGTATGGCGAGTTGCATGGACTCCCAAGAGCAATGGTGGGATGTGGGTGTGAAGCGGTCACAGACGCGCTCCCCACGCGCGCGGGACCGCAGCGCGACAAACAGCGCGGCGCGGAGCGCGAGACCCCGCGGCGTTCACGCGAACACTGAATTCGCGGCGGCGCGGACGGCTACGAAGAGAAATCTCGCTCGTTACCTCCTCGTGCAGAACCGAGGCGTGATAGAGAGGACGAGAGAGAGAGAGACGCGGAGAACGAAGAAGGGAAATCGCGCGTGGCTTCCCTCCGTCGTAGCAGGGAGGTGGTGGCCACTCTGCTCGCGGCTGCTGCTGCTGCTGCTGCGATCCGGCGCTGTGCGTGGAGGGGACTGCAGCGAGTGTTGGTGGATCGCCGCAGCAATGTTGGGGGAGCTCCCTGGCCGGATGAGTCGAGGCGGTGCCATCATACACCCGAGCTCGCCAGAGATGGCGGCGCAGCAACATGGGGACTAATCGCCATCTGTTTCCATCTGTCCGGGGATGGAGCGTGGGTTCTCTCCGTGCGCTCTGATGTCATCCGCACGTGCATGGACGACTCATTTAATTGGTGGGAAACTGTCTTAAATTAACCCCCACCTCAATGCATCTGGAGCCTCCTATAAATGAGCCCTTGTACTCAGCGTGGCTGTCCTGCACGGCTAAATAATACATGATTATTAAGTTACGATAATGGTTGTTGATTAACACTGCCCCCCAGTGAATATGCGCAGTGCAAGGCCGCCGCGATGGGTGCGAGCCAGAGACGTGAACGGGCTCGCATGGACAGGGTCCAGGGCCCTGAAAAAATCACCCCGTGTGCACCCCCCCCCCCCGACTCCTTCAAACTAAACCGGAAGTATGACATCTGACACAGCGACGTCGAAGCGCGACCCCCCCCCCCCCCCAACAGCGCGGGGCCCCGGGCAGTCTCCCCGATTCATCTGCAAGGCTCTCGCCACGGAGACGAGCGATGATCGGCACGGTCACAAAGACAGAGGTGGAGAAAAAAATATAAATAAATAAGCAGCGCCTAAATAAATAAGGATCCAAAATAAATAAATAACTAGCCCGGCTCCCGTAAATAGACACATAAATTCAACCCGGCCGGATTTTAATGTATTGCAGGGTTGCAATTTACACGGTCATACATAAAATCATTCATATCGGTGGATTTTCGTGTTAATGGCGTACGTGCGTCTGTGAAAGTGTGTGTGTGTATTGGTTTGTATGCAACTGTGTGCGTATGTGCGCGTGTTGGCGTATGCGTGTATGTGCGTGTGTATGTGCGTGCGTGTGTGTGCGTGTTTGTGTGTGCGTGCGTGTGTGTTTGTGTGTGTGCGTGTTTGTGTGTGTGTGCGTATGCGCGTGTGTACGTGTTTGTGTGTGTGCGTGCATGTGCGTGTTTGTGTGTGTGCGTGTGTTTGTGTGTGTGTGTGCGTGTGTTTGTGTGTGCGCGTATGCGCGTGTGTGCGTATGCGTGTATGTGCGTGCGTATGTGCGTGCGTGTGTGTTTGTGTGTGTGCGTGTTTGTGTGTGTGCATGCGTGGGTGTGTGTGCGTGTTTGTGCGAGTTTATGTGTTTGTGTGCATGCGTGTGTGCGTGCGTGTTTGTGTGTGTGCGTGTTTGTCTGTGTGCATGCGTGTGTGTGCGTGTGTGTGTGTTTGTGTGCGTCAGGTCTTCTCGGCCACAGTCATTCCCTCCTTTCTCTATGCTTGCGAACCGTGGACCCCCCTGATGGAACATCTTCGCCGGTTAGAAACATTTTGGTTGGCCTGCCTACGATCCATCCTGAGTTTACCCAGGCTGGATTGTGTAAGGAGCTCACAAATCCTTTAAAGATCTGGACAAAGTCCCATCGGTGAGCTCCTCCAGCAGGCAAGGCTGCGTTGGCTGAGTGATATAGCCCGCATGCCCAGCCACCGCATACCCAAACAGCTTTTGTTCGGCCGAATAGAGGGGGCTAAGCGGACGCGGCACGGGCTAGATAAGAGAAGGAGTGATGTGGTAGAGGAGGATGTGGAGCTGAGTGGACTTGCGGTGTCAAGATCGGCCTCTGTGGAGGAGGCTCGTGAAGGACGCTGCTACCGGGCGGTTGGAGGTAGTCGCTCTCCAACATCAACGGAGGGCGGAGGAGCGACGCTCACAACAACGAGCGGAGCGCCGGGTGGCTAAAGCACAGCAAGTTGGCACAGTAGGGGGCAAAGGTGGTGCATCGGCCAGTCGTCTCAGTCAGTCGACCCGTGGCACCTGTGTCTGCCCCGTGACCTCCTGCTAGCGGGGGTTCGACACTTCACGTGGCCTCAACGTGCACATAGCCTGGCACAAGCGTTGTGGTGACGTCACCGCCACTGAGTGGCGAATGGCGGTTGTTGTTGTTGTGTGTGCGTGAAGCTGTTTGCTTCCAGCCCCCCCCCCCCCACCAAGCCGCCGTCGCTGGCGCGAGGCTCACGCCGTGGGCGAGCGCCACTGGCTGCGATGCTTCTTAGCAGAGCGACGTGAATCAGCAGACACCAAGCCCGCCTCGCAACCTTCACGAACAAATCCGTCCCTCCGTGTAAATAAATAAACACCCCCCCCCCAACGTGCCATCAGCAACCGCACAGCCTCCTGGGAGCGCGAATATTTCAGCAGCGTCGGCTCAACACGAGCACAAACCTCTGGGCCCGTTTCGACTTTCAGTGCCTCATCAGCAGAGTCGGGCTCGCTTGAAGCAGCGCTTGCCGATCAGCCCGGTGCAATAGGCGAGTACCCCCCTCTCTGTGAGCCACGGGTCTTAGCTCCACACGGGGCTCTATGTTACACGCCGCAGGGTAATCATTAGCGTCGCTGTGGGGAATACAAACACGAACAGAAACGTCAAAATTTTAAATATTATTGTACGAATCCCATCAGCCGCACGGGGTTCTTCTTGTGCACAGATGCGCATGTGTGTGTGTGTGTGCGTCTCTTTGTTACTCGTGTGTGTGTGTATGTGCGCTGAGTGTGCGTGTGTGTGCACGTGGGGAACGGTGGTGCAGTGGTTAGCACACTGCGCTTCGAACCCGGCAACCCAAGGCCGATTTCTGTTCACAGCCAACATTGGTGACAGATGTGGACCCGTTCTATGCCTCCCTCAGGTCGACTCTACCTCCTCAAATGAGTCCCGAGTGCAATGTCTGAACATCAGCACTGGGGAGACAAAGGCGGCCGGGCGTGGTGGTGGCCACCCACTCCCTCACGCCCCGTCTCCACGCGTGCTCGTCGTGCACAGCACTCGCCCCGACAGGGTGCACGAGGGGTCTCTGTGTCAGTGGGCGCGAGTGCACCACTCACCGAAGCAGAGTGGCATTCCCAGTGATGATCTCAAACCCGTCTTCTATCCGGAACAGAGCTCTGGTGGTGGCTGCTCACACACACAGACACACACACGAGATAAAGATCAGCCATACAGCCTTACACATAGACTGCGGGGGCAAGTGCTCTTAGCGAGCAGCTATTAAAGCCGTCACGGCGCATTGGGGGGAGTGATGTCAGCAGTAGCTGGGAATCAAAATCCGGACACGAACGCACCCCGGTACAGGCACCACACGCCAGACAAAGATCCTCGTGTAGAGTTTAAAACACCGTTGGGGCAGATGGTGTAAGCGAGCACCGATTTAGGGTGGGTGGCCGACACCACGCCCGGCCGTTTTTTAAATCTCTGATTCGTCCTAGAGAAGGCCTTGGACCGGTTCAAATATTCATGAGCGGTAATTCAAACTTGGGTCAGCAGATTCGTAGCGCAGTGCGCTACCCGCCGTGTCTCCGCTCCCCCACCACAGACGCCCACACCCACGTGCACCCACGTGCATCCACGTGCACCCACGTGCACCCACGTGCATCCACGTGCACCCACGCAAGCCAACCGCCGCCATTCACCACTAAGTGGCGGTGATGTCACCATGGGGCTTGTGCCAAGCTTGGTGCGCTTTGAGGCCACGTGAACTGTGGAAGACTCGCTGGCAGGAGGTCAGGGGACAGACCGAGGTGTCGTGGGTTGACTGACTGAGATGACTGGCAGATTTACCGCCCGTGCACTCCACTGTGTGAAATTGCTTCATTTAAGCTGCCTGGCATTCCGCCCGTTGTTGTGAGCGTCTCTCCTCTGCCCTCCGTTGTTGTTAGAGGGCGACTGCCTCCAACTGCCCAGCAGCGTCCTTCAGGAACCTCCTCCGCAGAGATCGATCTTGAGCCTCTGCTGGAGATATTCAGAACGAATTCCGGAGATATTCAGAACAAATTAAAGGAGGGTGAGGGGGGCGTCAGCTTGACGCGTGGTAATGATCCCCCCACCCTTGCCGCCTCCCGTGTAGCGATGGTTGCCGTGGAGACGTGACGGGCCATGTCAGGAAGCTAATTACTGCGAGGCGCGAGCGAAAATGTCATCAATTAACGCTTCGGCGAGCAGACACGAGCCTGAATCGGCGCGCGAAGCCTCCGCCAGTGTCACCGCTCTCTCCACGCTCTCTCCACGCTCTCTCCACGCTCTCCCCACGCTCTCTCCACGCTCTCCCCACGCTCTCCCCACGCTCTCCCCACGCTCTCTCCACGCTCCCTCCTCGCTCCCTCCACGCTCTCTCCACGCTCCCTCCTCGCTCCCTCCACGCTCTCTCCTCGCTCTCTCCTCGCTCTCTCCACGCTCTCCCCACGCTCTCTCCACGCTCTCTCCACGCTCTCACCACGCTCTCTCCTCTCTCCCTCCTCGCTCCCTCCACGCTCTCTCCACGCTGGCACACAGACTGACACACACTGACACAGACTGGAACACACACTGACAGACTGACACACACACACTGACACAGACTGACACACACTGACACAGACTGGCACACACACTGACACAGACTGACACACACACACTGACACAGACTGGCACACACACTGACAGACTGACACACACTGACACAGACTGACACACACTGACACACACTGACACAGACTGACACACACTGACACAGACTGACACACACTGACACAGACTGGCACACACACTGACAGACTGACACACACACACTGACACAGACTGACACACACTGACACAGACTGACACACACTGACACACACTGACACAGACTGACACACACTGACACAGACTGACACAACAGTGACACACACTGACACAGACTGACATACACTGACACACACTGACACACACATTGACGCAAGGCTATCACGGAGGCACGTCATGGTAAGAAGGCACCGCACGTGCACATCAGGAGGCGGAGGAGCACGTGGTGAGCGGTGGGACTCGTGGGCAGGCTGGAGGGGGCGGATCATCGAGACGGGCATTGGAGTGGCACTCAGAGGCGGACGACTGAAATCCACACGCTGGTGGTGATGGTGAGATGGTGGTGATGGTGAGATGGTGGTGATGAGATGGTGATAATGATGAGATGAAGGTGATGGTGATACGATGGTGATGATGAGATGGTGGTGCTGAGACAGTGGCGGTGATGATGAGATGGTGGTGATGAGATGGTGATGATGAGATGGTGGTGATGAGACAGTGGTGGTGGTGGCGATGGTGATACTTGTATCCATCACTTAACATCGATTCCTGTTGCTTTTGCTCCGCGGTTATTTTTGCCCCGATTCCTTTTTCGCTTTTGTTCATTTCGGCGACACGGCTCGAGGAGTTCTCGGCTGGTCGCACACCACGACGCCTGACCTCACGGCGGCAGTGCCGCAGCCACACAGGGGGACACGTGGCGGGCTGGGGGTGCCCAGGCCGAGGAGGGGGGCCGAGGGAGGGGAGCCAGGCCACGCGGCCGTGCTCGGACTCTTGGGGAGGCCGGCGAGCGGTGCAGCGCACGTCGTTAGAGGGTTAATCTTCGGTCACTCAGCCCCCCCCCACCCGGCACAGACAACCAAGCCCAGACGCAGCCCCACCCACGCGTGCCCCCCCCCCACTCCCCTGACTGATATAATCAGAGATTTCACCTTCAGGGAGCGCGCGTGTCACGGTGACACGTGCGCAGACGTGCCGCGCGCGCGTGCCGCCTTCATTCACGCGCATGCATACATGCATAACAGAAGCAAATATGTCCCGTGTAGCCTGAGCAGAATGTTGGGGCAGGTGCTGCTAGCGAGTAGCAGCAGCGGCAACTATGAAGGCCGGCACTGTGGCACACGAGGGGGTGGAGGTGGCCAGCACCACGCCCGCCACGAAGACGACACGCGGGTACACGCGCGACACGCGCTACGAACCCGGCGGCCCGAGTTGGATTCCCGGCCACGGCGAACATCAGCGGCGAGCGACATGAGCGGCAGTCGTGCCCCCCCCCCCCGCTCGCCCCCCAACAACCCGCACTGACCAGCGTGGTGAAGCATGGGGAGGCCTCGATCCATTGATGCATTCAGAATGGTTGGAATGTACATGCACATGCAAGAGCGGTGGTGGTGGCGGCGGTGGTGGTGGCGGTGGTGGCGGTGGTGGCGGTGGTGGCGGTGGTGGCGGTGGTGGCGGTGGTGGCGGCGATGGTGGCGGTGGTGGTGGCGGTGGTGGTGGTGGTGGCGGTGGTGATGGTGGCGGAACAGCGATGGCACCCGCGAATCGCAGCAGGAAGGGCCCGAGGTTCGATTTCCGACTCGGGTGAGAGTGAGTGGAGTTTGTGTGATCTCCTCCTGTTCTGCAGGATGTGAGTGAGTGGAGTTTGTGTGATCTCCTGCTGCTCTGCAGAGTGAGAGTGAGTGGAGTTTGTGTGATCTCCTGCTGTTCTGCAGGGTGTGAGTGAGTGGAGTTTGTGTGATCTCCTCGTGCTCTGCAGGGTGTGAGTGAGTGGAGTTTGTGTGATCTCCTCGTGCTCTGCAGAGTGAGAGTGAGTGCAGTTTGTGTGATCTCATCGTGATCTGCAGGGTGTGAGTGAGTGGAGTTTGTGTGATCTCCTCGTGCTCTACAGGGTGTGAATGAGTGGAGTTTGTGTGATCTCCTGCTGTTCTGCAGGGTGTGAGTGAGGGGAGTTTGTGTGATCTCCTCGTGCTCTGCAGGATGTGAGTGAGTAGAGTTTGTGTGATCTCCTCCTGTTCTGCAGGGTGTGAGTGAGTGGAGTTTGTGTGATCTCCTCGTGCTCTGCAGGGTGTGAGTGAGTGGAGTTTGTGTGATCTCCTCCTGTTCTGCAGCGTGTGAGTGAGTGGAGTTTGTGTGATCTCCTGCTGCTCTGCAGCGTGTGAGTGAGTGGAGTTTGTGTGATCTCCTCGTGCTCTGCAAGATGTGAGTGAGTGGAGTTTGTGTGATCTCCTCGTGCTCTGCACAGTGTGAGTGAGTGGAGTTTGTGTGATCTCCTGCTGTTCTGTAGGGTGTGAGTGAGTGGAGTTTGTGTGATCTCCTCGTGCTCTGCAGAGTGAGAGTGAGTGGAGCTTGTGTGATCTCCTCGTGCTCTGCAGGGTGTGAGTGAGTGGAGTTTGTGTGATCTCCTCGTGCTCTGCACAGTGTGAGTGAGTGGAGTTTGTGTGATCTCCTCGTGCTCTGCACAGTGTGAGTGAGTGGAGTTTGTGTGATCTCCTCGTGCTCTGCACAGTGTGAGTGAGTGGAGTTTGTGTGATCTCCTGCTGTTCTGTAGGGTGTGAGTGAGTGGAGTTTGTGTGATCTCCTCGTGCTCTGCAGAGTGAGAGTGAGTGGAGCTTGTGTGATCTCCTCGTGCTCTGCAGAGTGTGAGTGGAGTTTGTGTGATCTCCTCGTGCTATGCAGGGTGTGAGTGAGTTGAGTTTGTGTGATCTCCTCCTGCTTTGCAGGGTGTGAGTGAGTGGAGTTTGTGTGATCTCCTCGTGCTCTGCAGGGTGTGAGTGAGTGGAGTTTGTGTGATCTCCTGCTGCCCTGCATGGGTTTCCTCCGGATTCTCCAATTGTCCCCTTCCCATAACCGCACAATGCACACATTGTAACTGGTGTGGCCAAGATATATCCGAACGCCCCAGCAATTACCTACAAAGTACTATATTTAGGATCACACGAAGCAGCAGCAGTAGCATCAGCATCATCGCCCTCCTCTGACTGTGAACACGTGGCAGGTACCCTAAAAAATCAGTCTTGAGACTCGATTAAGGCCTTTCTGGGTAAACAACCGCAACACTAAAGACTAAATAAGGATACTAAGACAATAGTAATAAGTCGTAACATTCGCAAAGAACTCCACGGGGTGGTGCTGGCAGTGGCAGTGATGTTGAATGGGGGCTGGGCGTCACATGGCACATGGGGCTGGCGAGAAAGGGGGGGGGGGGGTCACGTGACGGACGCCGTGTTCAATTATTTATAAAGTCTCGATCGTTGGTGAAATGTTTATCTTAGCCGTAATTAAGGAGCCAATAAAATATATATTTTTGAATTAATAAAGGTTAATTTATTTTGGGTTCAAAGGTGAAGCTCGTA